CGATCCGTCGTCGGGGAACCCACCCCCCCTCGCCCCCTTTCAAGGGGGGGGAGGGGGGGGTCCGATCCCCTCCCCCTCCCCCCCTTTGGCCGCACCCCCACCCCTCCCCCCCTTTCGCCACGCCGCCCCCTGACTCCGGAACCCGACCCCCGCCACCCCTACCCCTAGTCCTCACCCTAACCCAAACCCTTAATCCTAACCCCAACCACTAACCCCAATCACTACTCATTACGTACTCACTACCCACTACGGACTACTCGCTATTCGCTACTCACTTCTCACTACCCCCTACTCACTACTCACGACTCACTACTCACTATCCACTATTCACTACCCACCACCCACTACTCGCTACTCACTACTCCCTACTCACCACTCCTTCCTCCCTACTCACGAATCACTACTCACTCCTCCCTACCCACTACTCAATACTCACTACTCACTAAGCACTACTCACTACTCCCTACTCACTATCCACTACTCACTACTCACTACTCACTACTCATTGCCAACAAATCACTATTCACTACCCACTACTCGCTACTCGCTACTTCCTACTCCCTACACAATACTGATTGCACAGTACTCAGTACTCACTACTCGCTACTCCCATACTCGCTACTCGATACTCACTACTCACTCCCCGCTACTCACTACTCACTACTCACTACTCCCTACCCACTAGTCACTGCATAGTCTCTAGTCGCTAGTCACAACACACTCGTCACTAGTCACTATTCACTATTCACTACCCACTACTCACTACTTAATAATCGCTACTGGCTACCCACTATTCGCTACCCACTTCTTACTACTCACTGCTCACTACTCCCTAGTCACTACCCACTACTCACTACTCGCTACTCCCTGGTCGTTACTCACTAATCACTACACACTACTCACTACTGACTACTCTCTATTCACTACTCACTACTCACTACGCCCTAGCTCCTTACTCGCTATTCACTACTCACTCGCTACTCACTACTCGTTACTCCCTACTCGCTACTCACTATTCACTACCCAGCACTCTCTACTCATCACTACTCACTACTCACTACCCACTACGCACTACGTACTACTCATTACTCATAACCCACTACTCACTACTCACTACTCACTGCTCGCTACTCACTACTTACTATTCACTACTCACTATTCACTACTCACTACTCACTATTCACTACTCACTACGCAGTACGCACTTCTCACTACGCACTACGCACTACCCACTACTCACTACTCACTAATCATTCTTCGCCACCCACTACTCACTACTACCCACTATTCACTACCCACTACTCATTATCTCCTACTCCCTACTCAACACTCACTACTCGTTACTCGCTATTCACTATGCACTACTCACCACTCGCCACTCACTACTCACTTATCAGTACACACTACTCACTAATCACTACTCACTACTCCCCACTCCCTACTACTATTCCCTCTTCGCCACCCACTACCCACTACTCGCTACCCAATATTCACTACTCACTACGCACTAACTCACCACTCACTACTCACCACTCCCTACTCCCAACTCCGTACTCCCTACACACCTTCTCGGGTGCAGAAAGGAGAAGCGAAAGAGGCCCCCCCTCCCCGGCTCCCTTTCCGGCGCAAAGGGGGGGAGGGGGGGGGGGTCCGAACCCCGCCCCCCCTTTCCAGCGCCAAGAGGGGGAGGGGGAGGGGGGGGTCCGGATCCCCCCTTCCCCTTTCAAAGGGGGGGGGGGAGGGGGGTTCGGACCCCCCCCCCCTTTAAGTGGGGAAGGGGGGGGGGGGGGGGTTTGGACCCCCCCCCTTTGAAGGGGGGGAGTGGGGGGGGTTCTGCCCCCCCCTCCCTTTTAGTGTATTCAATGAGATCCACCGGCGCATTTTCTTACTTTTCATTGTTTTTGGACGCATGCTGCAAATGTGGAGGTCGAGTGCGGTTTGTATTGTTCTTTGACAGGGATTGTGGGGGGCGGGCCCGCATGGAGCCGGCATGGTTCCGGGTTGGCCGGCCGGGGCGGGGGAGGGGGAGGGAGGTGTGGAGGAGGAAACATTCTAAACCACCTCCGCCCCGAGGGCTGGTGGGATTTAGGTATTGTTAGGAATGCGAACGGCTTTTCAGATCCTTAACATGTCATACGTATTGCCGTGGAAGTCCCGAGGGCCCCTGTAGGATTTCCACACGTGACGTAATGATCTCATGCGAGGAGGGCCGAACTACTCCCTAAGTAATCCAGCGACTTCCCGGAGGAATCCTATGGACCCCGTCGTGCTTTCAAAGGCAGTCTGAGGAATCCGAAAGTTTTCCTGAGGAGCCCAATGCTTTCCTAAGTCATCCTGAGGGTTCCAGAGGAAGCCTGAGGACTTAGGACTTCCTCGGATTCCGAACCATTCCCTAAAGTAATCCATTCCCCGAGTGTTTCCTCCATGACTTCGATGGATGCTTCAGGACCCCGAAGACCCCGAAGAAATGTCTAAATGGATCGTTCAGCTTTCCTGAGGAGCATCGTCAGGAGAAGGGGGGTGGGTCACGAGGAAACAAGCCAGGATGGAAACCAGGATGAGCAGGAGCAGGACCAGGACTGTGATTGCTGCTGCTCCCTGCGATCTCTTGCCCCATTTCCTGATGCTGATTATGCTCCCCTTGTCGATGATCCCCGCCGTTCTGCTGCTGCTGCTGCTGCTGCTGCTCCTGCTGCGAAGGATAAAGGTGACGGCGGGGGAAGAGCAAGATGAGGACGAGGGCGCGCAGCGTCAGCGGCATGATAATGATGATCAATGATGATTGAGGGCGGATGAGGATCGATGAGGACGAGAGGAGGAGGAGGAGGAGGAGGAGGAGGAGGAGGAGGAGGAGGAGGAGGAGGAGGAGGAGGAGGAGGAGGAGGAGGAGTATCGGCGGCTAGCGAGGGGGGGAAGTGAGAAGGGGCTGGCCTTCTCGGAAGGGTCGGAATTCCCCCGGTCTTCTGGGAGTTTTTCTGAGCCTGCCCATGGAGACGCAGATTTGTTTCAGAAAAAGGCCGGAGGGCTTCTCAGAAGCCCCGCCGCCTTTGAGACGACCTTCTCCTTCTCACTTCCCCCCCTCGCTCGCCGCCAAGAGTAGGAGAGGGAGGACCAACATCAGTTCTGCTGCTGCTGCTCAAGGTAAGTGGGTGTGCTGGAGGGGCAGAGTAATTAGTTTGAGAACGATCAGCTTCATGAGGGGAAGAGGATAATGAGGAGGAGGAACATGATGATTCTGATGATGATGCTGCTGCTGATGATGATGATGGTGGTGGTGGTGATGATGATGATGAGGAGGAGGAGGAGGAGGACGTGGATGCATCCCGCCGCTGCTACCCCTCACGACGTTGGTCCTCCTCCTTCTCCTCCGCCTCTTTGCCCCGATGGAACGAGGACGAGAGGGGCATTCGAGATAGCGATGAGCACGATGATCATTATATAAGCGGGAGAGTTAATCATATGATGACGATGTTGATAATACTGATGATGAATATGATGCTGCTGATGATGATGGGTGTGATGATGATATTACTATGTTTCTGATGATGCTGGTGATGATGATGTCGATGATGAGGATAACGATGATGATGGTAATACTGATCATGGTCATGATCATGATGACGGCGACGATGATGATGCTGATGATGATGGTGATGGAGGTGGTGATGCTGATGCTGATACTTATCCTATTGCCACTGATGCTTTTTCTGCTGAGGAAGATGTCTGCTGAGGATGGTGCTGATGGCGATTGTGCTGCTGCTGATGATGATGATGATGGTGAAGATGATGATGATACTGATGATGCTGATTATGATTATGATGATGATTCCGCCGCTGTCGCCGATGTCGTTGCTGGTGCTGCTATTGATGATGGTGAAGACGATGGGATGATGATGCTGATGATACTGCTGACGATGCTACCGATGATGATGACAATGATGTTGATAATGATGATGGTGTTGATAATGGTGATGCTGCTGATGGTGATATGATGGTCTTGATCCTGATCAAGATGTTGACGACGACGAATATGATGATGACGCTGATGCTGATGCTTATGATGTTGCTGATGCTGACGATGATGATGATCATGATGGTGGTGGTGGTGATGATGCTGACGCTGATACGCATGCTGCTGCCGCTGCTGCTGCTGCTGAGGAGGAGGAGGAGGAGGAGGAGAAGGAGGGTGTGACTGAGCGACATCAGGAGCTGGATGATACCCAGAATGAGCTCTCCTGATGCTGGTCTCACCTCCCCGTGCGGCTGTTCACAGTCATCTTCATGTAGGTCAAATTAGCAGCATGGACATGACACATAGAAGGATGAGGGGATGGTTCATGCTATCGCAAGCATGGATCAAGGGGGCGTGGATTCGCGACGGGTCCCGTTTCCATTGGAACTCGCGGATTTCCGCCGCCGAACGAGGCGGCATTGGCCGCATTTTGGGGAGGGCACCTCCCCCGATCCATGGATTTGGCGACCGCGCGCCAAAATCCATGAATCGCAAATCCCTGTTTGCGCGCCCCCGAATGGTGTTGTGGGCCAGTATCAGACAAAAGATGAAGATGTGGTGTATGTGTGTGTGTGTGTGCCTCCGAATGGTGCCCCTCACGCTGGCGCTCACCTTCCTGTTCCTGCTCCCCCGGGCAAGGGGGACGACGGGGTGTGAGCAGGAACGTGGGGAGCGTGATAGATGTCAGGAACAGCTGCATCATGGTGGGTAGGAGTCGCGAGCCCATGAAGCGACGCGTCGAGCCTTTGGTCGGATTTGAGCTGTGTCCACTTTAGTTTGCTCTAGTGTTCTGCTCGTCTTGACCTTTTGTTGTTGCGATTGCGATTGCGATCGCGTCCAGTCGGGCCAGCGTCAGGAGGAGGCCCAGGAGGAGGAGGAGGAGGAGTCCCCAGCCATGTTGGCTCAAGCTTCCATGACTGGACGCAGGTCTTGAAGCAGGCGTGAGCAGCCCTCCTGCCTCTGCAAACCAGCCCCCCGCGCCGACACGATGGGCTGCTGCATGTCTTCCCGCCAGGCCCTCGCGCCCGAGGACCAGCAGGAGAGCGACGCCCAGGCCCAGTCGCAGAAGGCGCCCGTGGACCAGCAGCAGCAGGAGAAGAAAGGCTATGTCTATGGCTTCATCGACGTGAAGGACCCCGAGGAGTTCGAGAACGTCTACAGCCCCATGGTCGAACCGACCCTTGAGCCCTACGGAGGCAAGCTCATCCTGAAGCACGCGCTGACGCCCCAGATGGCGGGAAAAATGCGCATGAAGGTGTCCAAGGGCTTTGGCACCACAGGCCAGTGGGCCTTCATGCTGCAGTTTGATACCTTCGAGAAGGCCATGGGCTGGTTCATGGGTCCCGAGTACGCCGCGGTGACTGAAAAGCGTGACCAGGTCGCCGATTTCAAGATGGCCGTCGTCGAGGGCACCCCCATCCAAGCCGGGTCAGGCCTCGTGGTTGGCTTCTTCGACATGAAGAAGCCGGAGGAGTTCGAGGATGTCTACAACCCTATGGTCGAGCCGTCTCTGGACCCCTACGGAGGCAAGTTCGCTGTCAAGCACGCGTTGGTGCCCACGATGGCCGCAAAGATGGGCATGAAGGAGACCAAGGGGTTCGGCGCCACAGGCCAGGTGGCATTTGTCTTGCAATTCGCTGACTTCGAGAAGGCCATGGGCTGGTTCACGGGTCCCGAGTACACCTCGGTGATTGAAAAGCGCGACGAAGTCGCCGACTTCAAGATGGCCGTCGTCGAAAGCATACAGGAGTCTTTCGACCTGACGCGGTACACGGACGCAGAGAGCTTGTTCGACGCGCTTGCATTTAGCGTGGAGGGCCTCCACCCCGTGCGCTTGGTCCGCATGTCGTGGCTGCTGCAGCAGCGCGGTACGGTCCTGAAGAGGCGCCAGGAGCTGCCGGATGAGGCCTTCGTAACCGCGGACGAGCTCCGGGCCGTCTGGGAGGCCAGCGGGCGAGGAGGAAGGGACCATGTGGCGCCGATCATCACTATCTCGTTTTGCTGGGACTCACGCGAACATCCCGACCCCAAGGGGTTGCAGCTGAGTTTGGTGATCGACACGCTGGAGCATGAGTTCGAAAAGTACTCCAAGGCCTACGGCAAATTCCTGGGGTTCAGCGAGATGGGCGTCTTCTGGGATTGGCCCTCGCTGCTGCAGGGCGACCCCGACAAGGTCAGGGAAGCGAAGGCCGCCGCCTTGCAGCAGGGCAAGAGCGACGATGACGCCCAGGCGGCCGCGGACGAGGCCAAGCGGACTCCCGCCGAGAAGGCCGCCTTCAAGCACGGGCTGCAGGAGACGATGGACCTCTGGTACGCCCACCAGGCCACCACCGTCTTCCTGCTCACCCAGCACCCCCGCGAGCGGGGCAGCGCGCGCGAGTGCGGTTACGACCAGTCTGGCTGGACGACGTACGAGCGCTGCTCCGCGGAGCAGATCAAGCAGGTCTTCCGTTATGACGCGCATTGGAACGCCGTGGCCGACCTGGGCCAGGGGTTGGGGGCGACAAAGGCCGGGAGGGGGTGGCCGCTGGGCCCGGACGAGTTCGACAGGCTCATCGAGGACAGGTCCTTCACCAATGGCGCGGACCGGGAGGCGGTGAAGGCGCTCTTCCGCCGGATGAGCCGCGCGCAGCTGGGCGGCGTGACGACGCTGGACTTCGACGGGATGCCGCCCCCGACCCCCGAGCAGGCCGCGGGGCTCGCCGGCTGCCTGCGGTTGTGCGCCCGCCTGGAGGAGCTGGACCTGGGAAATTGCAGGATCGGCCCCGCGGGCGCGAGGGCCCTGGCGGGGGCGCTGCCCTCCATGCCCCGCCTGGAGGCGCTGGACCTGCCCAGACACGACATCGGCGACGACGGCGCGCAGGCCCTGGCGGGGGCGCTGCCCTCCATGACCGGCCTGAAGGAGCTGGTCCTGGGGGGCAACGGCATCGGCAACGGGGGCGCGCAGGCCCTGGCGGGCGCGCTGCGCTCCATGCCTGGCCTGCAGACGCTGATCCTGTACAACAACAACATCGGCGACGGCGGCGCGCAGGCCCTGGCAAAGGTGCGGGCTTGTCTCTTTCGTTGTTGTTCCCGGTTCCCCTCGTGTCTTTTTTGTTTTCCCCTCGGGGTGTCGTCGGGGGGGGGGGGGTCTGGGAGTCTTGTGTTGTTGTTGTTGTTGCTGTTGTTGCTGCTGCTGTTGTTGTTGTTGTTGTTGTTGTTGTTGTTGTGTTGTTGTTGCTGCTGTTGCTGTTGTTGCTGTTGTGTTGCTGTTGCTGTTGTTGTTGTTGTGTGCTGTTGTTGTTTTGTTGTTTGTTGTTGTTGTGATTGTTGTGTGTAGTTGCTGTTGTTGTTGTTGTTGCTGCTGCTGCTGCTGTTGTTGTTGTTGTTGAATATTATTACTTCTAAAGAATAATTATTGTTGGGCCCCCTGGTGCACGCCCCCCCTGCGCCGCCTAGGCCGCAGCTACATTTTCATCATTTTCGTGAGGAAGCCTCAGGTAAAACGATGTGATCCAGATCCGGTTGTTTTGTTGTAATCCGTTTTCCCTTGCAAAAAACACTATAAAATGACATTTCTTGTTCTAATATAATCAAATTTCAAGAATCCCTTGCAAAAAATAAGGTAAAGTGGACATTCGCGCGCGCAAGACGAAATCCTTCCAAAACCTTAGTGTTCGGAGCGATTTTAACATAAAAACATCAAAAAACCAATGGTTTTTCAACAAAAAAATGTCAAAATCTCATCCCGCGCGCTCTTGCGGATTCGTAGGAAACCCAACACTTTTTAAACATTTCTGTCAAACGGGCTTTTGCGAGCAACTTTTTCGAACTTCTGCGACAACGGTTGCGCACCTGCCAGGGCCATCATCCCTGTCAAATAATAATACACATGCGCACGCCGAAACACCATTCGTTTTTTCTTCGCGCGCGCACGCCGCTTAACAACTCACAAGGCTTAACAAACGAACGTAGGCCAATGTGGGTGTAGTAGCCACGGTCGTAAGTGAAGTGTTCATAGCGAAGAGTCCTTGCACTGTTCGCATAAAAGTGATTGTTGTTGTTGTTGTTGAATATTATTACTTCTAAAGAATAATTATTGTTGGGCCCCCTGGTGCACGCCCCCCTCGCCGCGCCTAGGCCGCAGCCACATTTTCATCATTTTCGTGAGGAAGTCTCAGGCAAAACGGGGGAGTCCGGATCCGGTTGTTTTGTTGACGCCCGCTTTCCCTGTCAAAAAACAATATAAAATGACATGTCTTGTTCTAACATAACCAAACTTCAAGAATCCTTTGCAAAAAAATGACACGAAGTGCACACTCGCGCGCGCAAGATGAAATCCTTCCAAAACCTTAGTTTTCGTAGCGATTTTAACATAAAAACATGAAAAACCCAATGGTTTTTCAAAAAAAAAGTTTCAAAAATTCATCCCGCGCGCTCTTGCGGATTTCTTAGGAAACCCAATACTTTTTCAACATTTCTGTCAAACGGGCTCTTGCGAGCAACTTTTTCACGTGCTTCGAACTTCTGCAACAACGGTTGCGCGCATGCCAGGGCCATCATCCCTGTCAAATAATACCATATGGGACACATTCGTTTTTTCTTCGCGCGCGCACGCCGAAATCTTCAAACACCATTGGGTTTCTTAAGAATTTCAGCACCGCGTATCATAAAATCGCACGAATCGCACCGTAGGTCCTCGACAAACACGTGCACGGATTTTCCAAATTTCTACCCGCGCGCGCTGTCCGAATCCTTAAAAACAAATGGTTTTCAACATTTATGTTACATGAGCTCGCGCGAGCTACTTTCGCACGCTCTTTCAACGGCGTTCGCGCGCCTGCCAGGGGCCACAATCCCTTGCAAAACGTCGTATCAGACGCTAGCGCCTCACCAGCCAAAGCAGTCCATATCATTGTAGGACCTACAGACAGTACCGGCGTCGTACTGGTTTACCGTGGTTTCCTATTCTAGCGTCAGGAACATGTTACCACGAAAAACCAGTACAGGTGTCCAGTGTTGGAACAGGGGGAAAAGTCGTATACTAAGCTAGCTTACAGAAAATGTTACCACAACAAGTCACTGTACCCATGCGCCAGTGTAGTAGCCAAGGTCGTCCGCAGGCCACGAAGTGAAGTGTCCGAACGTCATAGGGCGGGAAGCTGGGTGTGGGTGGTGGCGAAGAGTCGTTTGGAAATTTGGTAGAGCTTGAACCGGCCCCCCCACAAAGTGGGGGTATTGCCCGCCTCCTATGAAAACCCTGGCACTGGTGAGAACGGAGTGTCCCCACGTGCTAGTAGTTGTTGTTGTTGTTGTTGTTGTTGTTGTTGTTGTTGTTGTTGTTGTTGTTGTTGTTGTTGTTGTTGTCGTTGTTCCCCTCCCGGGAGGGCGGCGGGGGGGGCCCGGGGGCTTCGAGTCAGTTTGTGTTCCCTCGAAAGTTTTTTTTGTTTCCCTCGAGTCTTTCTTTTCCCATCGGGGGGGGGGGCCCGGGGGGGCCCAGGGGCCTCGAAGCTGTTTTTTGTGTTCCCTCGGAGGTTTTTTTCCCCTTCGAGTCTTTTTGGCTCCCCCCCTCGGGGGGGGGCGGGGGGGGGCCGGGGGCAAGGGCGGGGGGGACGGGGAGGCTCCAGAGGGGGGCCCGGGGGGGGGAGGAATTGCCTGGGGATATCGCCAGGTGGGGCCCCCCGGGGTGGGTGGGCGGGCAGGCGCCGGAGCGTGCCGTCTCGCTTCCAGCGCATGTTGTGCTGCCAGCGCACGAACATGATGGTGTTGATGGTGACGATGAAGATGAGTTTGATGATGATAGTGCTGATGCAGATGCTGGTGCTGGTGCTGGTGCTGATGCTGGTGCTGATGATGATGGTGGTTGTGGTGATGACGATGATGATGATGGTGCTGGTGCTGATGATGATGCTGGTGATGGTGATGATGATGATGATGATGATGATGATGGTGGTGATGGTGATGATGATGATGATGATGACGATGATGAGGGCGACGAGGATCATGATGACGATGATCATTATGATGACGGTGGTCATGATGATGAAACCCATGATGATGAAGTATGATGATGGTGCTGGTGATTGTGATGATGGCCAAGGTGATGGTGATGGTGACAGTGATGGTGGGGGTGCTGATGATGATGGTGGTGATGATGATAATGGTGGTGGTGGTGACGATGATGATGGTGATATGACGACGACGAAGACGACGATGATGACGATGACGATGATGAGGAGGCGGAGGAGGAGGAAGAACTGCATTAGCGCCAGAAATAGTAACAGCAACATGAACAGGGAACAGGAACAGACGCGGTAGCCTGAGCATCGGCAGGAGCCAGGAGCCATGAGCAGGGACCACGGGCTGAGAGCTATGGAATGATAGCTAGGATGAGGATGGAGGGAAATAGAGGACGAAAGAGATGAGAGAGGCAGGGAAGGAGCAGGAGGATCAGAGTAAACCCAGGATGCATCAACGATTCTGCAATACACCCTCCTGTCCCAAGACCCTTCCGCAGAATCCGCTATACAAACGTTCCTTTTGCACTGCGGGAAGCGCCCCCTTGAAAGGTAACGCCCCATCGGCCTGCCATTCAGTCTACAGCCCCGTCTTGGAAAGATCCGCCCTCCATCCGTGTAGCGGATGTGTAAGTATCGAGCTGCTTGGGACAAGTCCTGGCGCCGTGCCAGTCCAGCATGCTCGGCGGCTCGCGTTCGAGGGGGCAGCGGATGCCGTTCTCGCGAGGGGTGAACAACAATGATAGCTGATAACGGTGATGACGATGATGTTGATGATGATGATGCTGATGCTGATGATGATGACGATGATGCTGATGATGATGACGATGCTGCTGATGCTGAGGATGGTGATTACGATGTTGATGGTGATGTGATAACGGTGCCGTCGGCAATGATGATGACGATGATGATGATGATGATGATGATGATGATGATGATGATGGTGGTGGTGGTGGTGGTGGTGGTGATGATGATGGTGGTGGTGGTGGTGATGATGATGATGCTAATGCGGCGATGATATTCGGACCCATTGCGCGTTCCCACGCAGAAAAAAAAACACCCAAGGACCAGAATACCTACAAACCTTCACATTCCAAGACCTTAACACCCTAAGACCATAACGCCCTAAGGCCTTAAGACCCTAAGGTCCTAATACCCTGTGACACGAAGACCTTAAGACCATAAGACTCTAAGGTCCTAGTCCGCTAATTCCTTAAAACAATGGTATAGTGCCCTAATGCCCTAGGAACCTAACATCCTAAGACCCTACGAGCTTAACAACCCAATACCATACCAGCCTAAGGCCCTCCGGCTCTAAGACTCCAAGACCCTAGTACCACATCACCCTAAGACTCTAACACCATAAGAATTAAGACCCGGATGCCCTACGGCCCTAACTCTGGAACGCCTTAAGACCCGAACACCCTAAGGCCCGAACGCCCTGATACCCTACGACCCTACGACCCTAAAGTGCCAAATTTATAAGACCATACCATCCTAAAACCAGAAGGCTTCGAGAAGATAAGACCCGAAGGCCCTCAGACCCCAACACCCTAGACCCTACCACCCTAAGATCCTAACACCGTAACACCCTAGGACCCTTACACCTTAATACACAAATGCCCTAATACCCTAATACCCTAATTCCGTAATGCTATAAGACCCGAACGCTACAAAACCAACATGCACCAATGTACTAGAACCCAACTGCCCGAGCACCTTGATACCTCAATGCCATAAGGCCTTCACACCCAACAGCCCTCATACCTTAACGCCCTAACACACTAGAGCCCCAAAACCCTAACACCCGTGATGCCCTAACACCAGAATACCCTAATACCACGATGCCACCAACACCTTAACACCATAATACCTTCACACCGCCCTAAAACCCTTGGACCCTCAGAAGCTAGTGCCCCAAGACCATAACACCCTGAGGCCCTCAGACTCTAAGACCCCAAGGCCCTAGTACCATATTGCCCTAAGACTCTAACACCTAAGACCCTGATGCACTACGGCCCTAACACCAGAACGCGTCAAGTACCGA